ATTTTGTCCTTAGCACACAATCTTCCCCTCTCCCTTCGTATTTCTTTTCAGGTTTCGGCTTATTCTTGATGATGGTTCTTTTACCGAAGACAACGATGATGTAAGATGACCAACGATTTATGATGTCAATGTAGAATAATGTCGTCGAGGTCGACGCATAGCAGGAAGGCCGAATATGGGATTTTAAATACATAGCTTAATATTTTTCCTCGCGCGCTGTTTAATTTTTAGCTGTTGACTGCACGAGTGATATTGATAGAACTCTCGCAACTTTGTTTTATGAAAGGCGCTGTAAGATGTTATGGATGTTGCGTTAATATATATGCGATGATATATATGTTGTGTTAATAGATGTAAGATGTTATAGATGCTGTATTAATAGATCAATGATTTTGTAGATGTATTAATGTTTTATTAAATGTGTTTTGTTTGAATATGAATTGTGATTTCGAAACTAAAGAACACACATACATATATAGATCAACGCCTTGTTTATGGATGCAACAGATTACGTTAACTATATATAGTTCTTAGATATATGGAATAATCAATATTTCATTTATGGTCAATAGTTTGTAAAAATAATCAATAATTCATCAAAAGACAGCAATCCGGTAATGCAGTAGTCCATCAGTTGTCAATAGACTGTCAATAGTTGTTCAGTAATCAGTTGTCAATTGTTCGACGATCTGTAATTACATGTTTTCAAACATCAGTGGTTCATAAAATAATGAGTCAATTGTTCACTGAAAATGTAACTTGGTACTGCCTTATTATTCTCCGGAGCCCATTGTTATACCCCATATTACCCATTGATGCCGTTGCTCTTCTTATAAGAGTGGAACCCCTAAGAAGAGTTGAGGCATTGAAATTTTAAATTAAATTTAAATATTTAATATTAAAATGTTAAATGTGTACTAAAATCAACAGGGCACTAACCATACGTCTATTATTTTATACTTGAACAAAGATAATACAATGACACAATTCCTGAACTTTGCAAACTTTGTAAATTACTGATATTTGCTGCAAATTGCAATCTTACCTGTAAAAGCTTGGCCAGGACCTCTGTGGTACCACAATTGCAATCTTACAGGTAGAAGATAGGCAGATTAGGCAGGCACATTTGTAGTACCACAGGTGATTGAGGTATTGCTGAACCAAGATAAGTGTTAAGCCTCCGCCCCAATTTTGAGCGAGAACACCTTCGAGGTGGTCCGACTATCTTCCACCGCTCTTTTTCTGCCACCTACCCATGGAGTTAAGAAAGGAAGGAGTGGCCAATTCGACACTAAGAGGGAAGCACTGCTCCGAAGCTTCGGTCTCCAGATGGGGTGTTTTTTTGTTTACATTCAGAAGCTCCATAATAGCGCTTCGATAGTATTTGGACACACGACAGTTCCATACAAATCGAAAAAGAGACATTTCCGCGTAAAAGAAACATTCATTGTGTTATAGATAACAGCAATTTATATAATTTAGTGACATTTATGCAAAAATAACATCTTGGCTATTTTTCGATAACTAACAACAGCAATTTTTGATTATGAATTTGTTTTATAAAATTCTAAGCTGTTGAACTACAAAAATATAGATTTTAGAAAAAAAGTCATGCTTAAAGAATGAAAAATACCTTACGATACCCTTGATACGGCATTCTCTACTTTTATTTTATCTTCCAAACGCCTAATTGTTTTAAATAAAATATTTTTTTTATCATCCCTGTGTTTCTTTTTAATCATCCATGTGTTTGTGATATACTTTTCAAAAATTTTTAAAGGAAAGGCTTTGTAGTTGTTCATGTTAAACTTAACATTTTAGTTTTATATAACTTAAAGATAATCACTTCGGGTTTACAAGTTTTACTTATTTGGGTTAACTAAAAAATAAAATTATCACCAATTGCTGCAATCCTTGTCAAAATTAATATATATACACACAGATATGCCAATAAGTTAACTTTTCTTTGATTTGTAACCACACATTTGTGTAAAACTATGTACAGTTTTACACAAATGTATGGAACAGAGGACGGATACATTTGCGAATTCGGCGGAAATACCGTGTGCGATCAAGATGACATGACCATGTGAACGTGCCACATCATCAAAACAGCTTATTAAGAATTTAATAATAGGGTAATCGACGAAGATGAAAACATTTGTGTATCCTGCCAAAGATGCTCCGAATCATGAATGGTTCTCTTATTGATTGTTCGTACTGGAAAGTAATCTGTTAAAAGATATTGTAAAGCAAATTCTATGAGATGCGTAATTAAAAAAGTAATACAGAAGAGTTTTAGAATATGTACTGTTGAAATTAAGGGTAAAAAAATATGTGTTTTGTTTGAATATGAATTGTGATTTCGAAACTAAAGAACACACATACATATATAGATCAACGCCTTGTTTATGGATGCAACAGATTACGTTAACTATATATAGTTCTTAGATATATGGAATAATCAATATTTCATTTATGGTCAATAGTTTGTAAAAATAATCAATAATTCTAATTATTACTTATAGATATAATCAAAATAGAATATAGCGGGCACCTTCAGAAAACGCGTCGACTATAGGCTTTAAAAGAGGTCGTCGGAAATTAATTAATATTTTTATTGATAAGCTGCAAAAATTATTGGTCGACGACCTAATCCTCTTGCGTGCTGGTTAGGATCTGTACCTAGCAGCCTCGGCACCAGGGAACATAATCAGTTTTCACTGATTATGTTCCCTGGTGCCATAAGTAATAATTAATAACATAAGTAATAATTAGAATTATTCCACTTACATTTTATAATAAATAAATTACAAGTTTTAAGTAATATTTAAAAAAAAAATTTTTTTTGTTATCTTTCAGAAAAGTACTATTTAACGTATTTCGCTATTAAAATAAAAGGTGCTCCAATTTGAAATGGACCGAATAGAGCATTAATTATAAATTGACTTAGATTATTCGATTTAAAAGATGCCCCAGAAGCTAAAAAAATATGTCATATTTGAGAGAGTATTTCAGGAAGAAGCTTTATAAATAGAAAAGAAATAATACATAATTTTAATATTAATAATACGATAAACTTTGATCTTAATTTTTATAATCCTTAACCGAATAAAATCGAATTACTTTGAAAAAAATTTTTTCTAATGTAATTAAGGGAAACTTGTGAAAATATTTCATTCAAATTAAACCGTTCTGAGCAAACCGTTCTGTGAAAAGTATAGCATTTAATTCCATTCAGAATGAAATGCTGATTAAAAATGTATTCTTTTCATGTACTTAGGACTCTGAAATATTGTAGAAAACGAAAATATATGCATATATATGTATGTTTACGAATTACAAAATATTTACATCCGATTGTGTCAAAACCCATTGAACTTAATCGTAAATGACCGAATGTTTTGGTCCCCACGAAGGGATTGCCAGTACTTCAAAGCAGTGTATGGGGGAAACCGATTAGGGCCACTCCATCTTACTTCCTACCTCCATGCGCCTATCTCTAGAGAGGACTTTTGGTTAACCGTGTATTTGTAGTACACTTTTGCCGCACAGACACTGTACTCTAGTAAACGTCGATGCCTTCTCCGAGTTTCGAACCCGGGCCCAAAGGTTTGGCAGTCAGCGCCGCTAACCGTTGTACCGGCTGGGCGGCCATCGAGTGATTGCAATCTTACAGTGGTACATTAGGCAGAAGAGACCCCCTGACGTAGGTTGTTTAAAAGGTATTGTAACGTCTTTATATGGTATTGTAACGTCTCAAGCTCTAGAGGCGATCCCAGTCAACCCTGGGCGACAATTGTGAACACAGTTATGCATATAAAACGCAAGACAAAGGCAAGTGGGCACCAATCGGTCGCCATACAAAGAAAACGATAAACTTAGTTTAAGACTGTCCCCCGCCGAGCTCCAGCCTACCACCGAATGATCGATGGTTCTAGTTTCGTGTGAAAACTGATTATGTTCCCTGGTGCCGAGGCTGCTAGGTACAGATCCTAACCAGCACGCAAGAGGATTAGGTCGTCGACCAATAATTTTTGCAGCTTATCAATAAAAATATTAATTAATTTCCGACGACCTCTTTTAAAGCCTATAGTCGACGCGTTTTCTGAAGGTGCCCGCTATATTCTATTTTGATTATATCTATAAGTTAATAATTTTATCTCAAAACCTTACCGAAAATGTAATTTAAATTGGTTTACTCATTGTATAAACTTCTGAATGTTTTTTAGCTCTTTAAAACAACACTTTCTTAGAGTTTATGGGATTTCCAACTTCATAAAATCTTTAATATCTTCGCTTCTATTTGAAGCAAAGAATAAAACTCGCTTGCTTTGTAAGGCTAAAAATATATTCTATCGACTACAATAATAAAATAAAAATTTAATTTTTGACGAAAACTGTTAATTTCAAAATGTTTGAATAAACAACTCTAAAATAATTGGCCTTTAATAAGAACTTTTAAGGAAGTGAAAGTTTTTATTACATTGATTAAAACCCTGATTAAGTAATCAGAAAAGGAAGAATTTTATAGACACGAATACGAAGAGCTTACAGGAAATCCAGTTCTTCCACTCACGATTTTTTTTTTTAATAATTTTAGTCCCAAGTAACTAAGTGAAACTTACGAATTTCCGACCAGCAATGATGGGCAATAGAGGATTTATTAATTTCTTTTTATTTTCAAACGTGAGTTTCACGCTGGCTGTTTGCTGTGACACGTCAAGGGTTAAACTTCCTTGACCAATGCATATGAAATCTCACTGGCGAGAGAAATTATAAACCAAATTTATATCTGAAATAGGATCTTTCAAGACCGGTCGAAAATTCAGCTCATGCAACATGTACCTTGTGAATAATTTTTTTATTTCTTTAGAGCTTAGTTCCTTTGGCGTTTGCTTTGAGCAAGCTGCGCTCTCTTGCACTTTATTTTCGCGTTAAATGAGATGAAAAAATAAAAGTAAAAAATTATTCATATATTTCATAGAATATTTTTTTACCTGATCGAGATTAAGCGTTGACTGCACGCCAGGTTCTGTGTTGATTAGAGGTCGTTTTGCGTCTTCCACCAGAAGGACCAATCCGCTATCTCCTTTCTCTTTGTTTTCATTAGACAAAGATCCCGGCTAGGAGTGGAGGATGAAAAGAAACAATGAAGGAAAATTGTAAGCAAAATTTTAAACAAATTAAAATTTATATTAGAATTCGTGGGGTTTTTTTTTTCCATATTTTAAATAATTTATAGAACGGAAAAAAAAAGTTCACATTCACAATGGAAAAACAACAGACTTACCAAAAGTTCTGCAATATTAAGCTAAAGCTTAACTTTATACGATAATATTTTATGGCAACTGAGAACCATTTTTTTCTCCGCACAAATATGACTTCGATAGAAGAATTTTGACCCTGTCAAGTTTTGTATTGATTTGACACTGTGTGCATTGAAATGGTGCAATTTGCATAGTCTCATTAATGACCTTCGAAATAAAGTAAAACGTGGATAAGAAGTTCCTGCACACTTCTCCTCTAATAAGTTCCGAAATAAAATTTAAAAGGTGTAGTGTCCATTCAAAAAGTGTAGCGTTAAAAAGGTGTTCTAGAATGTGCAGCTCTTGTTTATCCTCCTGAGAAACTTAATTCCATGATACCAAGGCTACTTAGTTGTATGAAATCTTACTCATTAAATAGCCCACCAGCAGCCGAGCGGTAAAGTCGCTAAACACTGGTAGTTCGGTCCGAGGTTCGAATCCCGCGAACGGGCTGGCTGCATTGGCGTTTTCGTGGTTTTCCTCATGTGTAACGTGTATACGAGCCAGTTTAGGCAGATAGCCCTAGTGTGATTTGCCATAATTAAATAAACCTAGACCAAATCAGTACTCATTAAATAAGTTTTATGGTTCACATATAGTAATTTCATTTTTAAATTTTTATTTCGCTTGAAGATAGAAAAACCTGTTTCAGTCGATGACTGAACTGATGGGTTTTCCCGTCTGACATTCGAACTATTGACATAGTAATTGAACTAACTACAAAAATTTCAAGATTTCAGGCAGTTTTCACTTGCTACAGTCGATGCAGCTTAAACAATAAGTGTTGGTTATGTCACTTAGCTAGATAATCCATCCAAATATTGCCATTAATTTTCATTAAATTTACAGCATTATAAATTTTTTTTAAACATTGCACTTATTAAGGAAGCCATGTAGTGATCACATTAGGTTTTTCTTCTTAACAAGATTCTCTCCTTAGAAATCCCTTAGCCTCTTCTTATTGAAAACTTCTTAAGGAAAACTGTCTTGCATCCACGTTACACAAAAGCAAAACTACGAAAACGGCCATGCAAGCCAGCTCATTCGTCAGAATATGAACTTGGGTCGAACTATCGGCGTTCAGTTGTCTTGGCCGCTTATGGGAATTTTATAATCTACAAATTCCTTTTTTTTCCCTTTAAATCAGTTAGCCTCCATTCCGAAGACGAACTCACTTCACAACTTCCCTTAAAAATATTTTTGAAAAGCTATTATGAGATTACGGAATAGACACATGCCATGCTAATTAACTACAAGCACCTTTGTATAACATAAGGCTAACAAACGGCAGAGAGCTCAGTCGTTGAACACTGGTACTTTGACCTGAATTTCAGGTTTCACGGGCACTGTCGCGGTTAAAAAGTAATTCGTAGAACAGCCACTAATTTCGTTAAGAATTATTTCATTTTTTATCTATTTGAATTCAGATTGTTAAGTGAACATTTGGTTTTCACAGCTTCTGAAACATTTAAGATTTTTTAGAATTTCAAAATTTTGTTCATTTCTATCTACCATATAGAGTTTTTTATAATCTGTTGCTTTATTATGGATGAGTTTACTATATTTGCTAATTTTTTACATAAAAACGATCTCTGGAAACTTTTAAAGCATAACTTTCAAAATTTCTCTATGTAATATTAGGTTAATTATTCAACAATCTGTGCTGCATTCTGCTTTTCCCCTAAAAAATTAACAAATGAATTGTGAGGAGATATATCACCAGGTGACTGTTGCTGTCTCTGTACGCTTATACCTGTACTTGTGCAGACGACAAAGGATGCGACTTACCAGTTTGGATTTTGGAGGAGGTGGTTCTAAAGGTCTCATCAGAGCTCCGAAAACGGCGCAGTTCAGAGATAATCCGGCGAGTATTAGCAAGGCCCCCTTCCAGTCATAAGCATCTAATAACGCTTGTGTGAGAGGAGCAAAGACGAAGGCCCCCATGCCAGATCCACAGACAGCGATTCCTGTTGCAAAAGCCCTCTTCGTCGAAAAGTAATACCCAACGCTCACAATGGCTGGAAGATAGATCAGACCAAATCCCAATCCTGTATAAAAAGATTAAAAATTAGCAATTTTTTTAAACACTAATGTACAAAAAGCAAAATGGTAGTATCAGAGCTGAATGCGACAAGGCAGGACCAACTTGCACAGGGAATATTTGGGTATGCAATATTTACGTAAAGAAGTTCTGTATAAACTATTCAATCAAAGAATAGTTACATAAGGGAAATCAGCACAAATCTGTTCGCAAATTATTCCAATAATAAATATTACACAAAGACTATTTGACACTTTACGGACAACGAGGCTCAATGCGTCGAACAAGGTAATCTGTTTATTTGAACCTGCAAGTAGCCATGCAATGATGTCGTTACAAATAAGCGGAAAGAACAAACACCGAGCCGCCCAACCGGGATAATGGTTAGTGATTCTGACCGAACAGCCTTGATTCGAATTCCGGAGAAGGCATGGATGTTTGTAAATGTAAAGTGTCTGTGCGGCATGGTAGCATTAAAAATATGAGATGACCCGAGAGATTGGTGATAGAGAAGAGGTGTAGGAGACTTGTATGGTGCCCAAGGTTCTTGCTAACGACAGGGTTAGGTTAATCTTGAGATTTTAGACAAGCGAGATTAGTCACAATAACAAATACAGACAACGCCCTTTGCTTTTCTTTAAGTGCTGATTTCATTAGGGGAAAAGTAATAAAAATAAAAGATATGTATTATCTTATGTGGCCGAATGATAAAAAAGAGACGCGCTTTAATTTTTCTAAGGCAAAGATATCAGGCCGAAAAAAAAAAAAGAAAAAGAGTTAACAGAACCAAAGCTGGTTTAAAAGTTCGCGTGTTCATTTTCTAAAAGCTATTCTACACTCATGTCCATAAATTAAGGATAACTCGGAGTCACGCGGAAATCGAACTCTAAAATAAATATATCACCTGTAAAATCACTACACACATCTTCAAGAATCATATGCAAATTTCAGGAAGTAACAAGATGACACAGATGGTACGTCATACTGACAAGAGTGTAAGAGAATGATATGTAAGGAATACAGGCAAAGAAGTAAAATTATTCGCAGGCACTTTATAAGCATTTCAGTGCAATAATCGAATAGTTATGACACAAAGAACACATTTGAATGATTTTTTACGTGGTAGAATTATCGGCCGTCTGGAATGTGGGCGTACCCAACTGGAAGTATCAGACGAACTTGGAATTGCCCAGAGTGTCATCTCCAGGCTTTGCCAACGATTCCAAGATGATCGTAATGTGAGTAGACGTTACAGCACAGGTCGCCCCAGACTTACGACGCCGAATGAGGACCGGTATTTGGCAGTTACTGCCAAAAGAAACAGGCGGAGCACAGCCTCAGACCTGTCTCGTCAGCTCTCTTCAGCCACTGGTACGACAATTTCAAGGCAGACCGTGTACAGACGCTTAGGGCAGATTGGTCTATATGCTCGTAGACCTGTCAGATGCGTTTCACTTACTCAACTCACTGTCACCTGCGGTTAGCCTGGAGTAGAGAGCATGCATTGTGGACAACGCAACAGTGGGCTTGTGTGATGTTTTCCGACGAGGCCAGGTTTAGCTTGCAGTCTTATTCTCGTCGGACATTCATATGGAAAGCTCCAGGTACCCCGTTACCACCAAGAAAACATCATTGAACGACACCGTTACGGTGGTGCAGGAGTGCTCGTTTGGGGTGGAATTATTCTGGGTTCCAGAACTGACCTGCATGTTCAAATTGGAACCATGAAAAGCCAAATCCATCGGACGTCATTCTGAAACAACATGTACGTTTGTTTCGGGGCGCCATGGGCGCACAATTTGTGTTTATAGATGACAACACCCGTCCTCACCGTGCAAACATCGTAAGCGAATGCCTTCAATCGGAGGATATCACCCGTATGGACTGGCCAGCATTCTCACCGGACTTCAGTCCAGTAGAGCACGTGTGGGACATGCTTGGCCGACGAGTTGCAGCCCGTCAACCTCCTCCTACATGTCTACCGGAACTTCGGAGAGCATTGCTTTTTGAGTGGTGTAATATCCCCTAAGATCAGATCGATAATTTGATACTCAGCATGCCTAGGCGTTGTACGGACTGTATCGTATCGTCTGGGAGACATACAATGTATTAACAATCATACCAACCATGTAATATTGGTTTTTTGTAAATAGGTTTTTTTTTTTGTAATTTGTTCCAGGGAGAAAAAATCGCTAATTTTTTTAATAATATCAAACATATAGTATCTTTTTTTGCTCTTTACCTTTTGTTTAATAAATAAGCTTTACAAATAAGTCAAATTTGTTTTGCTTCTAACTCTTCCTTTCCCTGATTTTGCATTATCCTTAATTTATGGACATGAGTGTATCTCAGCATTAGCAGTTTCTTCGAAGATACTTATTATGTGGTATACAGTAACTGCAGATCGAATTGCACTACATGCAGCCTTCATGTAGGGCATAACTGTTACTACTAAGATGGAGAATTTGTTATGCACAGAACAAAGACCGTTCTTCCTAAGCATTTGGGTACAATATTTCGCCTACCAATGTGTTAAACTTTGTTTTTAGCACTGCCCTTCTGCATCTGTTAGTTCAGTGAGAGAGCAATATATGTGCCCTCTGACTCAAAAATACTAAATGAAAAGGTACTAAACGACACTATGGGTATATTAACCCGCGAGCACACGCACCGATCCGACGAACACGAGAACACGCGCCGGGTATGTCATACCCGAATAAAAATATTGTAAATAAAATTTGCCGAAAAAAATTAATCGTTTTTTTAAAAGAAATTAAAATGTAAAACCAAATTAATACTTCATTTTAGATAAAATAGGAAACAATAAGGAGAGGAAAAATTATTTACTTACAATTTTTTTAACATTGTTTACAAAATGGGGTCATATGTTCCATATATATACTTTTGCTACAATTTTCACAAATGAATCTAGTCTTTCTATCGTTTTTCTTGGTCTGTACACCTCTTGTAAGTCATTTCAGGTTTTTTGGAGGGCGGTCCATTGTTAACATGTTCATCGGTGGTCAGAGTTCGTCCAGAATCAGGAACCACAGATGCTCGTCGTCGTTCATTTTGAACATTTTCTATTAGCTGCATTCCTAAGGCTTTGAGAAAAGTACTCATCCCGTTCACGAGTTAAATTTTCTCGTATTGAATCAATGTAAATATTTGTTATTATCAACTACAGTGTTTTAACATACTATCTTCATCGATAAGCAATGACAAGGACTCTAGATGGTGTTGAGACGTCTTTAGAATACTTTGTATTTCCAGGGAGTTTAGCTATAATATTTTTGGCCCCAATTCTAACATTAGTCCGGAAATTTATTTTTGTTCCATTTTCACTCCATTTTTTCCCAACATAAAACTCATTGCTACATTCCAGAGTTTCATTTTCTGTATCTGAATCACTACTCTATATGGATGAATAATGATTACTAATTATATTCTTCGTCATCAACATCTTCCTCTTCTTCACTAAATTAATCCTCATCAGAAAAAACTGTTTCAAGGAGATTTCTCAATCTTTTCATCTCTTCATCGTAAGGAATATACGGCCCCATGCTTACAACTCAAGAAAAACTTATACTAAAAGCTTGAAAACGAGAAGTTGCGAAGTGACTCACTGAGAAACGCCAGTACACGCGCGGGTATGACATGCCCGAACAATGCTGGTCCTAAAAAACCGTTGCACTTGCCACCACAGGAATTTCCCCCATTTAAGTATGTGACCTTGAACTCAGCTACACCAAGTTTCATCCTTTTATGAAAGAATGGGCGAGAAATATACAAAAAGAAAAATACAATGGGTATGACATACCCGCCGCGTGTGCTCGCGGGTTAAAGTCTTTATTCACAACTAATCACCAGAGGCCTGAACACAACTATTCCTCTGTTTCACGAGCCGAAGATCCCTCTTCCTAAACTTCATGTAAGCTGTCACAAGAGCCAGTCCTTCACCGTGTTCTTCACTTCGTCGTCCGAGTCGAAACGCTTTCCTTTGAGGCGTCACTTCTGTTCAGGTCGTTTATCTTATTGATGAATTTAGATGTGATTACCGTGTTTGCCTGGCCTGTTCACGAGTCTTCACTCAATTACTCCAGGCCTTCACGAAAATTGGCACTCCATTTCTCACTGACTTGTTGGACACACAGTCTTCCCCGTATACAACCACTATCCAGCGATGAATATCGGCCGGTTTAACCCTTTCCACAGTGAAAAATCTGATAACACCTTGTTGCTCCTCAGTCATCGAATTTGGCAATGTGAACGCCATAATGTCCTCACACGCACTGCCACATCAATTGGATGGGACACACAACTGCCTGTTTCTCTCCTGCGTCATGCGCGGGCGCTCGCTCATGAGCACAGCCATGCCGGATACTACATTCGTGTCCTCAGATGTCTCAATATGTCATGCTAAAGTGACAGATTCAAATTTCAACCAGTTGGTTGTTACGACGGTTCTTACCTTTTTATTTAAGCACCCAAAGGACCTAAGTATGTACTGACTGTATATACTGAGTTGTATTTTGGTATTCCGGAACTACCTTGCCACCAACCTGAATTCAATATGTCTCCTAACTGTAAGTCACTGGCATGGTTCAAATCCACCGCAATCTACACTGATGAGATCAAGCGAGATGGCAGGAGCTCTGGACTACTATGTGTTCGATTGCAGAGAGACTGTAGAGCATCAGCTTTCGACAGCCAACAGCGGAGCATATCCATGCATGAGATAAAAATACTTTGAAAAAAATTCCTGTATTCCGAAACGCATGCGCGACTGCGTCAAGATAGCATGTAATATTTCAAACAGGCTGGAGTAACTTTCAACTGCCATCATCATCGCCAGCACAGCCTCTGTATGTTCTGCATTTGCATTAAATTAATTTTGCTCAAGTTGACGATTCGTTTTCTTTTCTTTCTTATTTGTTTTCACTTATTGGATTTTAAATTAATGTCATGTAATGAAGCTTTAAAAATTTTAACTAGACATTCTGCTTGAATTAGTTAAAGTTTCAATGAGTCTATCTTACCTGCCATGATACCGTACGTGACCATGAGAACGTCCACAGAGGGCGCCACCGTACTCAAGAGGAAAGCCAAGCAAGATACGATACTTCCAGCTATCGTCACAGGTCTGCATCCGAATTTATTCGTCAGCGCGCTCACAACAGGGCCTGAAATTAATTGCATAATTTAACACGCTAGTTTAATGCTTGCTAAAAGAGTTCGATAACTTAACATTGGTGAATGAGTTCAATAATTTAACATGTAGTAGATCGATACTTTACCAGTTCGATAGTTTAAGATTACCTAAATAAATTCGATATTATAAGATTTGCTAAGTGAGTAATTTAGTTAACTCTTACTGAATGAGTTCGATAAATTAATATAAGTTAATGAGTTAGATGTTGTTACGAATTTTGTATGTATTATTGCGTGCGTACGGGTTCGTAATAGATGGAATGCACGAGTCTGATGAAAAGTTAATAAAATTTATTCTTATCACAAGACATAAAACAAAATGCTGAAATGTTTCCTCACAGATATTCGTACAATATCACAATATCACATAGTAGTTATATTTTAAACTACTAAAACATCAAACAGAACGCAATCCAAAGCGCAGGGAAAGCTACTCATGTCTCACCGCGAATTCACCGTAGTCAACAACAGTTATCTAAACAACTGAATTGATATGTTTCTGTCCGTCTTTTTAAAGCTTTTTAATGAGTCACGAGAATTTTCTCGTAATTTCTGTTTCCTCGAGGTTTCTGGAAAGCAAAAGAGTAGAATTACGAGATATCTATTTATTAAACGTTAAATGCACGTGCTCCTGTATTTTTACTTTTCCGGCGTAGATTTCTCTTAAAATAAGTCTCGTGCGGATTATAAGAATATCAAGGAAGGGGAGGGAATTGTTGGATTCAATTTCAAGAGTGAATTGGATGGCTGGATCAATTGAATTCATAATAGATAGAATCTCGGATTCCATTATTTGAAGTTCAGATTTTGAGCGTGAAGGTGCATTTGCCCCTCGCTCCCTATTTTTAACTTCGCTAAATTTTTCTTGTCCTTTATGCTTGATCAAATAGCCTGGCTCAGTAAAAGCGCGAGACAAATTTTTAAGAGAAAGCTATGCCGAAAAAATAAAAAAAACAGATGCACGTGCATTTAGCATTTAACATTGAGTGAATGGATATCTCGCTAATTTCCATAAATGTAATTGACTGTTATGTTAGCTGTAACCGTAATTCTATCCTCTTATTGCTTTCCTGTAATTCCGGGAAGCAGAAATTGCTAGAAATATATCGCGCGGCTGGTTGAAAACTAATTTAGGCGAAGAAAAAGCATCTGCTCTCAGTTATTTAATTAGCTGCTGTTGTTAGTTCAGTGTGATATCGAATTGGCTTTCTCTATGCATTGCGTTGTATTTTAACGTTTTTAGTAGTTTGAAGTATAGCTAATGATTATACTGCGTGATACTATGAACACTTGTACGAATATCTCTGAGGAAAATTCCTGAGTTCTGATATATTTCTGTTGATAAGAATAATTTTTATTAAATTATTATCGGACTTGTCCATTCAATCTATTGCGAACAAGTATGCACGCAACAATATTGTAAAAAAGTTTGGTTTTGGGTTTTGGTTTTATTAGATTACGGCAAAGCACTCGAGGGCTATCTGCCTTAAGGAAGGGATGCCTTCGTGGAGGACTTTCTAAGGGAAACTGGCTCGTGTACACGTTACACACGGAGAAAACCACGAAAACGCCCATGCAGCCAGCCCATTCGCGGGATTCGAACCTCGCACCGAACTACCAGTGTTCAGCGACGTTACCGCTCGGCCGCTGGTGGGCCTATTGTAAAAAGGAATCTTTATAACTTCCCCTGTAAGGTATTTCTCCCGCCTTCTTAGCATGTTTCGTGCTGTAGTGGTCAGCACGCTCGACGCGTATTCGAGAGGTCCGTGGTTCGCGTCCCGGCGAGGGCATTGCTCATTCTTTATCTCTCGTGCTTCGAAATAAGCTAATGATTCTACAGTGGCGCCCGATCTAAAAGGTGGTGAACGATGATTCTTCACCACCAGGATTTAGCGATTGGGTCCCCTAAAACCCCAGTCTTCCTTTAAAAGGGGAGTATATGAGGTATTTCTCTCGCTTTCTTAGCATTCCTTTATGATGTAGTGGTCAGCATACTCGACGCGTATTCGAGATCCGTGGGTCGAGTTCCGGCGAGAGCATCGCTCATTTGTTCATCTCCCCCGCTTCAAAAATACCTAATATCTCTACACCCTCACTGATGTGTAAAACATTAACTATAGTTTGTAATTCCTCAAAGAATAGTATTACAGAAATAAGAAAATGCGGAGACAGTAATGGAATGCAAAATAAGGAGACATCTAAAACTTGTTCAGTGTGTATGAAATGAAATTATGCTTAAAAATTTTTATATTCACCCTAATACTTAATTTATTATCAACGTGATATGGCCAAAAATTAGTCGTACACAAAAATTCTACCAATGTTCAATGAATTAACCCTGTTTCAACAGATATTTTACGTCACTCCTGAGAGCATCATTAAGGTCGTTATAATAAATTTGGCTTCTGCAAGTTAATCATTACATGTAATTCAATTAAAAAGCTTAATCGTTCATTATTAGCCCAAAAGGACGTTAGTCCGGAATGGGCTATTAGTCTCAAAACGTGGTTTTGCGTCGTCCACGCTAAACAGCGAATCACTTTTCAAATGGATGCTAAAAAATACGATAGCCCTGTATTATTTTCAAAGAAATGATATAATGAAGGATCTCCATGGATGTATGTATGTTCTTCGCATAGTGAAAACATGATGGTGTCTACGGCCATCAAATTTTGAATAACGTAGATCTCCACTCGAACATGTGAGCCAGGAAGCCCGGATTTTGAATTTTATATTTCATATTTTGCAAAACTTGTAGACTCATTAGGTTTTAAAAAAAAAAAAAAAAAAAAAAAAAAAAAAAAAAAAAAAAAAAAAAAAAAAACAGGAGATTTGAAAAATGTGCAATGCGCTCGCCGGGACACGAACTCTAGACCTCCCGAATGTGTGTCGAGTATGCTTCCAGTTACACCACGAAGGCATTCAGCTAGCAACTTTGGTTTTGGTCGCAGCTAGCAACTTTGTAGACAGTATATTAAATTAATAATTAATTTTATTTTCAAGTTTTATTAGTAGAACTTATAAATACTGCTTTGGCCGTAGCCCGCTCATCTGGAGGGCTTACCCGCTAGTTATTATTAACCAGGTGAACGTAATTGTTACTAATCAGTGAAGTTTATTAACCAGCCAGTTTAATATGAGTCGGTTACTGAAAATCAAAGTGGTCATTAAAATGTATTTCGCCTGATGTATTTTAGCTTCTCCCTTTTCACATTTTATATACCTAAAATCAAAGTCTTTTCCTGTTAATAACGCTGAAATTAAGATATAAGTCTGAGAATCGAAGAAATGAGGTAATTCATAATATATCCAACTAGTGGTTTTAGTGAACATTACTAAAAGGCGTTCTATAAGGTGCTATCGTTTAGTATAGCCCACTCAGATTTTTCCCCCAAAAATATCACCAAACATAGCGATAAGTGATAGGACATGGTAACCCATACCATTCAGCAAACGCAATGTTAACAACCGTAAATTTCTGGAATTACGGTTACAGCTAACACTTACAGCTAATAATCAATTACATTTATTCAATTTCAAATACAAATTACCGAGATACTCATTTACTAAAAGTTTAAATGCACATGACCCAATGGCAGACCGCACATTGAGTTGAACAATGTTAAGCGAATTTCGCTTTCTGCGCATGCTTGATGGGTACCTTTGGCGCGAGGAGAAATACTGGCCGCTAAGCATCCCTACGCTAGCTTATGCGTGAACTCCATGGCTGTCGAGTGTGGTCGAGTGATGCTTACAACTGCAATGTTGTGGAACTGGTGTTCATTAGTTATTTTAACGTTGTTTATTAGTTATTTTAACGTCCATACCGATCGCACTTGCTTATTTTTGTAATGTATGTTTCATTTTAATTTGTCAAAACCAGTGCATTTAATATTTGTTAACATATATTGTGCGTAATAATTCGTTATTTAGATGTAATATGTTTACATGTTATAATTCAGTAATGTAAACTGGATTTTATCGCTTAGCTTGTTAACGTATATTCGCGCTTTTATTTTCTTAGTTCAAATAATTAAATAAACAGCATTAAGGAATTGAAAAATTTCTTCACTATTATTTACAAACACTTACTATATTCCTACGTGTTTCTTTACGTATGTAAGAATGGAACGTCTGATAAATCCTGAATTGTTTTTATTCCTTAAAAGTATAATGAATAAATTTTCGGGTAAAGTGCAGAATCGCCCACTAATTTGTTTGGCGCTTTTTTACAAGAGTAAGAAGAATTGGATTTTTGCCAATTTTCGATGACTTTTTAAGTGAAAATAAGTCGATGTGTACATAGATAATGTCAAGCGCGTGAGCAATGCCATTTTTATGCAATTCTGGGAATTTTTTTTTTCTTGAAGTGAAAGTAGGTCGATGTGTACATGGATATCGAGTATGTGCAATTCTTAAAAACGCGCCAAGCAGTAGGTGATTCTGCACTTTCCCCAAATTTTATTTTAACACAGTAATTACTTTACATTGCACATATACTCTACGTAGAATTAAAAGCCAGATTTGTTTACAATCAGATGGCGGTACATATACCATGTACCGTATTTATCTTCTTTTTAAATCCTGCCAACATAACAATTATGCCAAACTTTTTTTTTCTGGGCATGCGCAGTATGCGACATTCGTGTAACTCTGTTCAACTATATGTGCGGTCTGCCATTACGCGACCCGATATTCTTACTCTTGCGGCATAGCTTTCTCTTAAAATTTGTCGCTCTCTGCATTCCAAGAGGAAATACAACAATTTTAATTATAATTCTACTAAATACTAAAATATCTAAAATATACTAAAATATCTATCTAAATACAAAATTCGTAACACTGTTATCGGCGATTATTTAACGCTCAGATATCGTGGAGAATATTATTTTGGAGATAAGATTTTGGACTGCTTGGTAGGCAAGACTTTTTGCATTTAGTTACGCCTTGCTGTAAACCTGCTTATTAGTGATGTTGTAATTAAGTAATTAAGACACTATAACACTCCTAACAAATACTAATTCAGAAGTCAAACAACAAATATCAGCGTTATATTTTCAAATTTTCACAGGACTAGTTTCAATGGTTTTACCGAACCACCATCCTCAGCTGCAAAAACGCAAATGAACGAGATAGGATATAATGATCAGATAAGATAAGAAAGCCTGGACAGAAAATAAGCTAGCGGCGTCATCTGTTGATGAAACCAGAACTAAAACTTAATTTCTTTAAAGGCCGAAGGCAAAGATGGATTGGAATTAGGATCGTTAACTAGAACAGAAAGATTTTTTTTGAATGTGAAACGCCTCTAGAAAATCCATTTCTTCAATGGAAGATGTTTTTTGAATAATTTCGGAAGCAGAAAAATTGAAAGTGTGATTTTCGGACCAACAATGTCACAGAACACAGGAAACACAGAAGTCTTCTGTTGCCCAGCATTGTGGGCAACAGAAGTGTGGGGCTGAGAAATCAATTAGGCTAAAGATCTTGGTACGCGTGTAGTAAGCATAATTTACAGTAATTTAAGAGCGAAATATCTAAAGGTTTTCTGCATTGTTTTTAAAAATTACATAATTTTAACCTTAATCATTTTCCTTCATCATTCCTTAACATTTTTCTTCTTTTAAAATCTTGTGTAATAGCTGTAAATTTATTTCTATTATCCATGATTTCTGGTGAAAACAAGATGGTCGCGATTTTTGAAACACGCAGTTTGTCGGAAATCTTGATGGCAACCATTTTTTCAAAACACGGTATTTGACGCGCTTTGGCGCCAAACAAATTAGCCAAATTTTTAGCCAAGGTTCCCTAAAAGGTTTCTAATGCTATAGGTTCTATAGGTTATGTAACTGGCATAGAAATATTTAAAATATTTTACATTTTTAAACAGGATTTTTACTTATTTACTTCATTTTTATTAATTTTTGTTATTTATTATTTATAATTTTATGAGCCCAAAGAGGCAATTTGCCCAGAAGTGCTATTAATTTCATTTTGGCATTTTGCTTCGTCCGCCATAAGACAGCGTTTCACTTTTCAAACTGTTGCCATCAACATCGCTGCATTATATTCAAAGAAGTTAAATAATGAAAAATCTGCATGAATGTGTGCATTTTTCTCCCGTTGGAAAAATTCAACGGTACCTTGAGACATCAAATTTTGAATAACGTAGTCCTCCACTCGAATACGGGCATCTGGAAGCGCAAATTTGGTATTGGTTTTATTATCTATTTCATATTCTATGAAACCGCAACCCATTTTTTATTAACAAACTCAACGATTTCAAAGCCAGCAATAGCAATACTGTACGGAAAAAACATTTTGTTCCCAGCTCGTGAGACTGTGTATCGGAAATTCTAATGATATGCTCTATTTAAATATTTTGTGATATTGCTGTTGAATTCAATTTTATTGTTTAAGTGCGAAGAACATTATATTTAACAAATAAAGATAACATTCAAAACGTTAAAGACATGCCCCTTTGGGCGTAATATAAAATGTAAAGCTTTCAGATTTTAAACCCTTTTTTTTATAAATTTGTTTATTTATTATTTTCATTTTTCATTTATTTTTTAATAATTTTTTTTGAAATAGCTATTATTACTTCTAATTTTGAGGTTACCTGAAGTCTCTACTTGAAATTTTCAGATTTACTTTGAATGTTTGTTTATTGTGTCTGATTGCCTTGCACAGGGATGCAGCAGTGATATGCAGCAGTGATAATTTTAAAACTAAACTCTGAGATAAAACCCTATTACTTGATGATCATAGAAGAATTAAAATACCTGCACTAAGATAACACCCTGTGAGTAGAGATCCAACCCATGCTGTTTTTCCTTTAGGAGACTTGTAGTAGTCCACAAAATGGATGAGAAAAATACCAAAACTGTAGGCGATGCCGTCGACCACAACGTTGCACAGAAAGGAGGCGACCACGATCACCCAGCCCCATCCGCCATCCGGAGGCTCAGGAATTCCCGCCCAGTAATCTTCCTCTTCCGCCATGTCGATGACCAGTGTGCATGGGAGCTTGGGTGGTGCTGTCGTTAGGGAGCTCCATACTTCGTCTCCTTCCTCTTCCTCTTCTTCTTCTGGAACACCCTTCATCGTCCCTAAGAAAAAACGAAAACAATAAAATTTCGTGCTGTTGGAAAAATTTAGAGTTTAACGGAAGCAATCAACTTACAGAGACTGTTAAGACTCTCTGCAGTGGGAAGCCAGAGCCTATATCTTTCACGGAATCAAACACGAAGCCTTGGATTTTAACGTTACGTACCACTCACCACACCGAAGGAGTGTCTTAAATTCTCTACATTCTTCATCTTTCATGGGTAACCCGTGGAGAAGTTAATGACCAGTCGAACAAATTAAGATATTGTAGAGTTATTGTTCATCATATTTTTAATTCGGGCGCCACTGTTGATATTATTAGCCCAAAGGGTTGTAAAGAGATTAGGTTTGTTGGAAGCAGGAAAGATGAAAAATGAGCAACGCCTTCGCCGGGAATCGAACCACAGACCTCTACGCGCCCAGTGTGCAGACCACCACACCACAAAGGCACGCTGAGAAGGCGGGGAGAAATACCTTAAACTCTGATTGGTGTAGAACCTTAGGTCGGATGTCCATGCGACTGCGTATCAGGTTTCAGCCCGAATGGCCTACTAGTCTCGAAACGTTGTATTTAAGTATATATACACAATGCATTGTATTCTCCCGTACGGCCACACACGGCGCTGTGTCGTGTTTGGCAAATATTGCTCTAGCTCGTATAATAATCGCATTAAGGACGCAAATAGTACTTTCAATGTATTAATCTGACTATGCATTCTTGTTTCTTGCCTCATAGTGTTCCATTGCAGTTATAACATATTATAAATTTCACTTGCTCCTATGTACACCACCTTATTGTATCCATCAGGTATTAACTATATGTTCAACTGCCCTTGTATGACAATGAAACTTCTTTTTTAGTCTCAATAAATTCCCGGGGGCCCTTTGGTTCGTTGAACTGCTCCTGGGATGGATCCGGCGTTGCGTCTGGGCGCTCGGTGCGAGGCACACGTGAGGCTCCTCTCTAGCCAACTCTAGATAAGGGTGGACATGGTGCTGTACTGATTAATCTCTATGGCAAAGGGACAGTGCCCATGTCCACCGTCACTTATCACTTATCACTTGGTCTTGAAACGAGATTTGGCGGCGTATCACTTTAAATGTTTGAAGCACTTTTCAAACTGTTGTCATGAACTTCTATCCTCTGTATTATTTTTGAAGAAATTAAATAATGAACTATCTGAATGAATGCATGTATGTTTCTCGCACTGTGAAAAAACGACGATAACCTAAGGGCCATCAGATTTTGACTTACGAAGTCCACCCGAACATGTGCACTTCGAAGCCAGAATTTTGAATTTCGAATTTTATATTGTACATTTTGTATCAAATCATTAAAGCGATCAAAAGAATTTTATATCAAATCATTAAAAGCGATCAAGAGCAACGCTGTACAGATTAAGACATCGTTATCTCCAGCTCGCGGGACCGTATATCGGAAAATCTAAATATATGCTGTTTTTAAATATTTTGTGATTTTGCTCTTCAGCTAAATTTTATGTGGCGTAAAGGCGAAAAACATGATATTTAATTAATTAACGTAACAGATAATACGTTAATAATGAAAAAGACAAAAAAAAGTTTCGCAAACCATCTTGCTCAGAAAACTGCGCATTGATATGATAAGTTGAGAAGAGACTGAAAACAATATAAAATGGTATGCTAACACTTAACACTTCATTGGGAATTCTAAATATATGCTGCTTTTAAATTTTTTGTAATTTTTCTGTTGAACTGGACATGGTGTAAGAAAGGATGCATATGCCAAGGAAATGATGCTTAATAATAAAGTTAAAAAGACAAAAAGAATGGGTTAGCATGAGTGAGCGCAGCAGCAGACGTTTAGACTGACAGCTTAGCGGGAGCATAGAAAATAATAATAATAATAATAATAATAATAAACTCTTTTTGGTAGCCATTAAAATCTAAGCCCTTTCTGATTAAATTTTTTTCTCGTCTGGAAAAGTGATACATTTTTTGTATCCTCAGCAAGAATTAGACTTAAAACCTCCCACTGCTAATCTTGATAATTAAAAAGAAATAAAAAATACATTAATATACGGGAGGTATTGCTTTAATTATTCTGCAAGTTAAGTTGATAATTTCTGCAATGTCAGGTGCTGCATTGCAACTTTAAGATGAGAGCTCAGTAGAAGCCAAAACCTTGATAATGGTTTCAAACATAAAGGTACTGAAATCTTCCTTAATTTTAGACCAAGGCACTCGACACGTCTGTAATTTAATAAAACATCAAGTACAATTATAGCTACCTTTCCAGTCAGCCTATTCTAACGATGCGTCTATTTGAATTGAAATCACATCTACATAATCTAGCAAAACATCTAACAGAATATCATAAGTACAGTAAAACACCTATTAGAACATTAACAAACCTTACAACCACAACACATTGTATTCTAATTAAAGCATTTATAAAAATTACAGTTACAGTAAGGTGGCATGGGTTTCACCGAAGGAAATCAACATGAAAGAAATTATAACTTTCAGTGGAGATGGCTATCTTAGAGTGATCAAATTCATTAGTAAGATTTATTTATGTTCTTAGGAATATTGGTCCTCCTCAGAAATGGTGATTTAAGAAAATGGGTCGTGATTATACGAAGACGAATGAGTGTAATGATGCATAAAATGCTGTAATACATTTATGAAAATCGGATTAAGATACTAAATAACAATGATCATACCATAATAAATGAACAAATTTTTAATTCTTTCAATGTCATAAAATTCAAATATTTTAAACTTAAAAAGAACTCAAGTCCAGCAAAATAGTTACTTTTTAGTTTGGTATATTGTCAATCTTTTCGAAACTATTAATATTCAACTGTGGAAAGACAGGTATTATGTTTCATGTTTGTATAAATAATTTTTGTAATTATTTTTTGTTTTTTATGGTAAATATATTATCCCAAAATAATGCAGCAGACAAGCAATCCATATCATATTGTTGCGTTTTCTTCTGACACCAGTTGTTACGTTATTGTCTTCCTTCACGTTCGTACGGGGTTCGTGTGGATTTTGAGTGAATAACGACGACACTCGATGAAGTATCGAAACACACTTTAGGTACCAATATTAATCAGGACAGCTCCAAAACACTTTTACAGTCGTCGAAGATCTACTATAAACACGCTGACACGATCAGCGACACAGCCTCCAGGTTATCAGGCTGTCACGGTGCAGGCAGCTTCACAGCGAAGCACTAGTGTACAGCTCTCGACTCTGCTTGTTCGTTCTCGGAACTCCACATACTCTCGAGACTTTCCATGCTACAACTCGCGACACACAGAGCAGCTCCCGACACTTCGGTTCAGTCGTTCCCGAAGCTCAACACACTCTCTAGACGATGCACTAACCACGATACACTACGAGACTCTCTCGGTGCACTCGATTCTCGGCACTCGCTGCCCGACTGTCAACTCGATCGACTCCGCAGGAGTTGACTTGCTAAACGAGACACCAACTCGAGACTAACTCTCCGCGTACCAGCAGGATTTATATAGCTTTTGGCTGGTGTTCTAGAACATTCTGAGCTAAACCGGTAAGAATTCGTTCCAGAAAATTCTCCATCCGTCCATGGCATATCGCCAATTTTGTCGCCAAATGGACGATCGCCAAATGTGGCAACTTTGACTTCCCTTGCCATTTTATGGCAGCCCTAAACTTGCTTTGCGGGGAAGCTATCTTATCGTACCTGTATATTTCGTAACACTATGATTGCGATATGGGTAGCTCATTAGCGCTCTGTAATAAAATAGCTTTATAGGGTGCTCGCACGTGCTTTGAAATGATCTGTTGCGACTAGCTTTTCGTACCGCTTCTCACTCCATAATTCAAAACTGGAATGCGTCAATATACACCGTGTTTCAAAAAGAATATACGTATTACAAAGTGTTATTTTGTCCAAACTATCGATCACTGTGCCTCGGCTCGGCTATTGGCGAAAAGAATACCTAGTCTAGTTTATATTAATATCTGATAAATGTTAGTTGTCTTCTGTTTTGTGTGGTAACAGTGACATGTTTAAAATGGCAAGTGACATGTTTAAAATCATTTTATGTTCTCGAATTTGACACCCTGTGATTCTTCCTGTGGGGTTTCATCAAAGACAACGTTTTATGTACCACCACTCCTACATAACCTGGAAGAGGTGAAGAACCGGATCCGTATTGTCATAACATCCGTGAGGACGGATATGCTTGCCCGAGTGTGTGAGGAATTTGAGCACGATGTGATACTGTTCGTGTCGTTGATGGAGAACATACTGAACATCTGTAATCTGAACTTGAGAGGTTCGTACATATGTATAAAGTTTCATATTTGTATGTTATACAGTTTAATAAATGTATGCATTCGAAATACGTATATTCTTTTAGAAACACGCTGTACTTTGCTTCAAATTTTTCAAATATCACTTTCATGAAGCATGAGAAAGTTAACATTTCCAACGATAGTAATGAACAGCATGGAAGGACAAATATGAACTATCGGAATAGGTGAAAGGCTGATAATACTTACTCGCTTAGACCTCGCTAGATAATACTCGCTTACACCGCACCAAATTCGAGCCCATTCCCATGAAAACCCGACAGCATTCGAATGGGGCGCGGTTTCAAAAGTTGCTTTTTGAATGCTGCGAAAAAATTCATATGGAACTGTTAATTTTTAAAATATTGTTACGAAAGTACAGGCGCAGTGAGATGGCTTCCCCGCAAAGCAGTTTTAGGGTTGCCATAAAATGGCAAAGGACGGCACGGTTGTCACATTTAGCGAGAAATCGCCCATTTGGCGACAAATTGGCGATATGCCATAGACGGATGGAGAACTTTCTGGAACGAATTCTTACCAGTTTAGCCCATAATGTTCTCGAACACTAGCCGAAAGCTATATAAACCCTGCTGGCCCGCAGTCAGAGTGCCTCGTCTAGAGTGCGAGATAGTTAGTCTCGAGTTAGTCAGTCCGTGCGGAGTCGATCGAGTTG